TTTTTTTTTTTTTGAGACAGAGTCTTGCTCTGTTGCCCTGCGTAGAATGCAGTGGCATCATCATAGCTCACTGCAACCTCAAACTCCTGGGCTCGAGCGATCCTCTTGTCCCAGCCTCTAGAGTAGGCGCCCGTCACCACACCTAGCTAATTTTTCTATTTTCAGTAGAGATGGGGCCTCGCTTCTGCTCAGGCTGGTCTCGAACTCCTGGCCTCAATCCATCTTCCCGTCTCGGCCTCCCAGAGGGGGTAGGATTATGTCCAGCCTTCTCTACCAGATTTTTACCGTACTTTTTCTATGTTTAGATACAAAAATATTTACCACTGTGTTACAATTGCTTACAGTATTCAGTACAGTAACATGCTATACAGGTTTGTAACCTAGAAGCAATAGCGTCGGGTAGACCGTATCATCTAAGGTTTGTGTTAAGTATACTCTGCGATGTTCACACTATGGAACTGTCTAACGATGAATTTCTAAGAACATATCCCCATCATTAACTGACGCTTGACTGTAGTATTTTTCCCAAGTCATCTCTGGGAAGACTTGCATAACACACATACACACAAAATTCTGTATGGTTGCTCTAGCCTTGCTTTAAAAAAAACTGCTAAAAATCTTGGGCACAAAGTGACACTTCTCACTTACTACTTCACCCACTGACCTTCCCTACTATACACGATCAGGGAAGCTGAAGCCAGACAGAACTCAGAACTATTTGGTTTACTGTCAGATAGTACCAATTCTGCCTTACAATGCTAGGTTTGTGCTTGCTACTCAGTTTTTCCAAATCAATAATATATACTTGTAAGAACATATACATATTGTAAATCTATAAAGAAAAATGAGATGATTATCACAAATGCCTGGTTAGTCATGATCTCTAGAGGGTAGGAGGGAGTGGTGTGCAACTCAACAGGGATACTTAGGGAGTATCTACGGGTTATGGTAATATTCTACTACTTTTCCTGATTGGTGAGTACATATATACTTGTTTTATTATTTAAAAATATATATGTATTTTATACTCTCTTCTGAATACATGACACATTTTACAATTAAAAACACAGCACTATGAGCAATAGAAAAGAAAGACGTTATCTATTCATTTACATAAAAGCAAAGTTAATTTCATTATTTTGCCATAAAGAGAAAGAACATCAGGCCAAAAAAGCAGATTGTTGCCTTACATTTGTGCTTAAATACTGTCTCCGAATTTTGTCTTGGAATGGGCAGAGCTTTGTAACTTGGAATCGTTCTAAATTACTTTTCATTTTTACTACCTAAAAAAAGATGAGAAACAATGAATTACAGAGAAATCTCAAAGCTGTAGGGACCAAGAGATAAACACTATTTTCCACATATGAAGGCTACTTTTGCTGTAGAAAATTTTTAAAAATGAAAAATAATAAAAATAAAAACATACCTATTATATCCCACCACTCGGAGATCATCATTAACACTACTGTGAACATCTTTCAGTCAAAAATACTCATCTAAGTCATTATTTAAAATGAATTAAGTATTTAAATGTATAAATATACCAAATGCTTCTTATAACCAATCCCTTTTGGATATTTAGGCCATTTCCACCTCTCCTACGTTAGACAGTGGTAAAATATCTCTATAGCTAAATATTTACATTCTTAACTGTTTCCTAATAATATTCCTTATTTATTTCTAAATATGAAATTCTATTTGAATGTTGAAGTCAAAGCACTTAACCTCAAGCAATCTTCCCGCCTCAGCCTCCCAGAGTGCTAGGATTACAGGCATGAGCCACTGTGCCTGGCCCTGCTTGCATTCTTCAGTGAGCTGTTAAGTCTTTTGCCTATTGTTAATAAGGTATTTATCTTTTTCTTAATCATTATTTTTAAGTGTAGTCTATAAAGTTATTGTTACTATTAATGCTGTATTTTTCCATTTGTCAATTATCTTTTAATTGGTTAAAGGAGTTTTAATGTAAACATCTATTGCTGTATTTGCTGTCAGTACTCATTTGGATTTTGCTATCTCTAAAAAATGTATCAGATATAAATAATTTTGCTGATGTGATTTGTTTTGGGTCTCTATTCTTTAATTATTCACAATGGCTGGGAAGTAGATACAAATTTAAGCTATATGATTATTTATGGAACTGGTCTGGATCTCAGTTTCCTAACCAATGAAATGGATAGAATCAGTATCTACTCCATAAAGATGCTGAGAGGCTTAAATGAAATAATGTATGCATAATAGTTAATTCCAGGGTCTAGCACATAATAAACACTCAAAAATATTTCAATTTCAAAATAACACCTCACTAAGTAAGTCATTACCATAATAGCAGGCTGTGTTTAGAATTGATTCTAACCTTTTCTTCTAGGAATGGTGTATTAACAGGAAAGCAGGACCAGAAATGCCGAAGTAGCTCTCCAACAGCTACATACAAGTGTTTCAATTCAGACTGAATATCGTTTGGCACCATCTCTGCAAAAGAAGGACATGGTCCATAGGGTAAAACTATATTCACACATGTATAGTCTCTGAAAAAAATGGAACACTCAAAGAATAAACTTGAACATGCACTCTTTGCCATTGCCAAACCAGCATGTGCTATTATTAGATAAGTTACTGACTTTGTGGCTGAAAGATCACAGAATTTCAAAACTCATGGGATTTTGGAGAAACTTTCAGGTTTCTCTTTTTTTTTTTTTGAGACACAGTCTCACTTTGTTGCCCTGGCTAGAGTGAGTGCCGTGGCGTCAGCCTAGCTCACAGCAACCTCCAATTCCTGAGCTCAAGCAATCCTACTGCCTCAGCCTCCCAAGTAGCTGGGACTACAGGCATGCGCCACCATGCCTGGCTAATTTTTTCTATATATTTTTAGCTGTCCAATTAATTTCTTTCTATTTTTGGTAGAGACGGGGTCTCGTTCTTGCTCAGGCTGGTCTCGAACTCCTGACCTTGAGTGATCCTCCCGTCTTGGCCTCCCAGAGTGCTGGGATTACAGGCATGAGCCACCGCACCCGGCCGTGTTTGATTTTCTAATGGCATTTTTACGAGGAGAAATCCATGAGCATGTGGATTGGATTAAAAAGTATTTTCTAACTTGGTGTAAAAGTACAGCATGGGACAACCATGAGCCAAGGGGGCATGGGAGCTCACATTATTCCTATTTCCCTTTTGTCATAAATTTCATAATATAATTAGTAGCTTCAATGATTGCTGAATTTGCTGACTATCCACCAGCTGCATTCTCTATTGGGCCTTTCTGACTCAAATCATGTGTCTCAGATAATGAAATAACTTTTTTCTTCGGTAGGAGAGGAGGAAAGAAGCTAAATGTGTAAGACTGACTATAGCTTAAAAAAGTCACGTGGGGACCTGGTGCAGTGGCTCATGTCTGTTAATCCCCACACTTTGGGAGGCCAACATAGATGGACTGCTTGAGGCTAGGAGTTTGAGACCAGCCTGGGCAACACAGTGAGACTCCATCTCTACAAAAAATTAAAAAATTACCCAGGCGTGTTGGCATGTGCCTCTAGTCCCAGCCACTGAGGGGGCTGAGGCTTGAAGGATTGCTTGAGCCCAGGAGTTTGAGGCTGCACTGAGCTGTGCTCACGCCACTATATGTAGCCTGGGTAACACAGTTAAGACCCTGTCTCTTAAAAAAACAAAGTAATGTGGGTCTTACTTGGGCCCAAGGGCCCGATGTTGAACAACTCCAGTCTAGATGGAAAGAAGTGGTCAAATAATCCTAAATTTGTTATGTGTGCATTTATGTACATATATATATTTCCTAACTCTGTCTGCTGAAAGGATGATACCAGTAGCAATGACACCCCAATAGCAATGAGTATACCTAGTGCCCTGATCTTGGTTTCTAAACCCACTCAGCACCAAAAAGAAGATTCCATGCCTGAGGGCAAATATAAAATAAGCCTGGAATATCTCTTATTGTGCCATAAAGTAATGGGGGTGGGTCAAAGAATGATGGGGACATTGTCAGAAAGACATAGGAGCCAGTGGGAAGGGTGTAAGAAGGGTCTGACTACAAAGGGGCATGGGTATATTTTATGGGTTTACAGAACCATTTTTCTTAAATCTTGATTGTGCTGGTGGTTACATACTGTGTTTATTAAAACTTGGAGAACAGCAGACTTAAGAAAGGTAAATTTTACTGTATATAAATTATACCTTAGTCTAAAGAAAGAAAAAATGATAGCAACAATTTATCACCCATAAAATAAAGTATCTTCCGACAAGAAACTTGAGAAACCAGGAAGATTCTACCTTCAACAAGTGATCAAAGTTAATATCACAAGTTAGGACATACACAAATCATGTGCCTCCTGATATAATCACACCAAGGAGGAGATACATCACTTCTGTGATATTCCTGGCAAGAATGCTTAATATGAATCTAGTCATAAAAAAACATTAGAGAAACTTAAGTTGAGGGCATTCCACAAAAAAATCAGCTTATACTCTTTAAATGTCAAGGTCATGAAAGACAAAGATCAGAAATACACGCTGAAATATTTAGGGGGTAAAGGGTTATTATGCTTGTAACCTTCTCTCAAAGTGAATCGTTTTTTTTTTTCTTCAAGTTTCTGTAAAATCTAAGATTACTTCGAAATCAAAAGTAAAAAAGTAACTCCTGATGTATGATAAGCACTGTAATATCTAGGCATGTACTCAGTGCCTCAGTGCTTATGAAAACAGAGAAAAGAAAAAAAACTAATTCCTCCCTGTGCATGTTGAGGATTGCTTTACAAAGGCAATGAAAGTGCGGTTGAGTCTTGAATCATTATTACTTTCTCAAGGGCAGAAACAGGGTTAAGGGCATTCTAAGAACAGACAAAGGATAAGTGAAAGAACAGGAAGCATGAAGGAAATATGTGATCAAAAAACTGTGGACAGCTTAGTGTGCTATGCTGGAGTACAGAATGCCTGTCTACACGTGGAAGGGACTGGTGGAGACTGCAGCTGAAGAGGAGACTGAAGAAGTGGGCCACAGCCAGATTGTGGAGTCTTACATGCCAAACAAGGCACTCAAGACTGTTACTATGGCAATAGATGGAGGCAGTGAACATTTTTAAGCTGCAGGATGAGACAATATATGCTTTTAGAAAGATAACATACTGCAGCATTGTGGAAAATTGATCAGTTTTGCTTAAACCAAGGTGGAGTCAAGAAATAGTATTCAAGGACTAACAGAACTTGCCAATCAACTTAAGTATGAAGGGTAAGAAAAATGAGCTCTGTCATAAATATTCTGAGTTTGAGGTCATGCAGTATATCTACAGAATGATGGCAGAAAGAATTTAGAAATCTGGGAGATTTTCCCAATAAACTGAGTACATATAGAAGGAAAAAGATCAGCAATCACAAAACTCACTATCTTATTTTTTGTTATCATTTTATCTTCAAATGCTTGTAGGACATTTTAAACACTATTTCTCCCTACATCTTGATTTTTTCAATTTATTTAGCAAATACATGTTTTTAAGCCCAATTAAAATACTAGTTGTATAGTTCAAACTGGTTGTGCTCATAAACTGAGGAAGGAATTGTGGGAATTCTGGTCTTCAAACAATACAAGTTACCCACCTGAGTTAACTTGGGTGTATAAGCTTCCATTTCTTGTCTAATACTTTGAAAAGAATTAATAATGTCCTGACTCGTTGCATACTGTAGTGACTGGATTGGAGTTGGACCATGGTAATACCTGAAGGTTAGCACAGAAGAAATTAGTAATCCCACAGTAAAGATGCTCAATATTTGTCTTTCCAACATTTTAGTAGCAAGTAGAATGTTTCCCTCAAGGCAAAAAATGATACTATATACTATAGTTAAGGAGACTTCAATAAAACAAATAGATAATTCCCATAAGGGCAATAACAAAGAAACAGCACAAAGATCCAACATTTATTTTCTTGGCTTTGATCATTTAGAATGCTTTCCTGAGATGCATAAAGTAAATTTTTTCAAAAAAAGGACATTGTACTTTTATGGTAACAAACTGATTAAAACAAGAGTGCTATACTTCCAGAATATATTTTGGAATTGTGTTACATAACTGTTCTGCTTAATATCAACCATACTTACCTATCTGACTTCTTGAGGTTTAGTGCAATTGTTTTTACGGAATTATTTTTTCCCAGGTCTTCATATTCAATGGACTCTTGTAACTTAGCCTGTAATTATTGACAGAGTACTTTTTGTCAGTAACTCTTATATAAGTAATGAATATGACAGAAAAATAAAACTGTACAGACAGTAAAAAAATGAAGTCTTCTCACCATGAGCTTCACTTCCTACAGATGACTCTCTTACAAATGGTTGAACTAATGTTCTTACCAACCACTCAAACACACAGTACCTGTTTTCCTACACTCTGATCAAACTTTCAATTTTTGCCAATCTGATAGGTGAGTTTATATTTTATTATTTTTTCCCCCTAACGAATTCCTGTTTATGCCTTCTGCTATTTTTCCATTGAGTACTTTTAAAAAATAAGACATTTTTTAATATTAAGGAAATAGTCTTCTATTTTATGTGTTGTAAATACTTTCTCTTCCAGTTTGGTGTTTTCCAGATTTAATTATTAAAAAAATCTACCTCTTCCAATGGTTTAAATTTTTTTTTTTTTTTAGAGACAAGGTCTTCCTGTGTTCCCCAGATTGGATTTGAACTTCTGAGCTCAAGCAAGTCTCCTCCCTCAGTCTCCTGAGTAGCAGGCATTACAGCCAAGTGCCACTGTACCCAGCTTATGGTTTAATTTTTGCTTATATCTTGGATCCATTCAGAATTTTGGAATAACAAGTAGGAAATCTAAGTTTCTTTTTACTAAATTATTAATCAGTCCCAACACCATTTGTAGAACAATCTGTCTTTTCCCACTGATTCTGAAATGTCATGAGTATCATATGTAACATTTTATTATGAAAAAGGCTTTGTATTAGATGATTTTGCCCAACTGTAAGGTAACCTAAGTGCTGTGAACAAATTTAAGGTAGGCTAGGATAAGTTATGATGTTTGGTAGATTATGTGTATTAAATGCATTTTTGATTTATAGTATTTACAATTTACACTGAGTTTGAGATCTAACCCCCTTTAAGTCAAACAGCATTTATATTATGAAAACTCACAGAGAAACAAAAATTTTTAACAACTTACTACCTACACCATGAATCAAGGGTACTCAGAGCAACAGTATTTATTGCAAATAAAGCATCAGTTACCAAACATTTCAATAACTTAACGTTTTGGTTTAATTGAAAAAAGAAATACCTCATTGGTTTCATTAATTTTAAAGGTAATACATGTCTGCAGAAACATTAAATTACTGAAATGGATGAAAAAATTAAGATTCACTCAAAATTCCTTTACTTAAAGATAACCATTCAGCATATTCTTTCATTTATTTTTAGAGACAGGGTCTTGCTCTGTTGCCCAGGCTGGCATGTGATGGTGCGATCATAGTTCACTGTGACCTTGAACTCCTGGGTTCAAGTGATCCTCCTACCTCAGCCTCCTGAATAGATAAGACTAAAGGCAGGCACTACCATGCCTGGCTAATTTGTTTATTTTTTATAGAGACGGGGTCTCACTATGTTGCCCAGGCTGGTCTCAAACTCTTGGGCTGAAGCCATCCTTCCACCTCAGTCTTCCAAAGTGCTGAGATTATAGGCGTTAGCCACTGCACCCAGACTGAGGTCTTCTTAAAGTTCACAAACTTCTTTTTCACGTGTGAAACCATATCACAGAATCTGTTCTGTGAACTTTTTGATGCAATATATTATTAATCTTCTAAAATCAATAACGGTTTATCAATTTTCATTGTATAAATGTACCACAGATATCAGGATGCTTGCTATTGTCTCTATTATAATACTGTAATGAGTATCTCTACCTAAATCTTTAAACATATCTTTATTTTCTTAAAATAAATGTCCAGAAGTAAAATTAAGGTATAAAGCTTTAAAATTTTAATACATATTGACTGACTGCCCTCTAAGAAAAAGCTTTATAATTAGGGAGGGAGAGACAGAGTATTTTGGCAAAGTCGTAGGAAAAGAAGAAATATGCAAATAGCCAACTCTGTCCATACTTCTCCACACCCTCAAATGAGTTCTTCAACATTTAATAAGACATTTCCACCTGTGAAATGCTAAGTTTTACATGAGGGCCAATTTACTTTCTTTTTAAATTATATACACGAAACTTTAATTTTTCTTTCTGTCATGTTGTTTCTGGTAAATACTCTTGCCCAGCAAACAAAATTACACACAAAAACAATCTATGCGTATGTGTACATGTGAAGGGAAAAAACCCAATAAAAATGGTTAACAGGACTGAGTCAATGGAAAGTTGGCTGGCAAGCCAAACCTGAGGAAATACTCTTTATAACGCTCTACACTTTAAGCCAAACACTTAAATTCTCGGTCAAAAGAACCGAGTCATGTGAAATAAGCAATATAAAGTACTTGCAGTTATATAAAAGGTATTTAGAGAAACCTGAGCCCAAAACTGGTCCAAATTTTTTGCCCATACCCTTTTGACTGCTGGCTGAAAGCAGTCTGCATCTCCAGAATTTCCATCGATGCTGCTGGGCTCACCATTTTGTTCATTTTGTGCTTCTCTTAAAACAAAGGAAAAAAAGAAGTCAATAAAAACCACAAGCAGAACACCACAGCTCCACCTGGATATCCTGAAAAGCCCAGTTACTGCACCTTTGTATGTATACTTAACTGTTTCCTGAGTCCTGCTGCCAGGACCATGGCACTGTGATGGTTAAACCTCTTGATGATGGCAGCATTACTGTTTTCTTTTATGGATTTAGAATTGGAAGTAGATGGCACAGAGGAAATGCCATAGCCCTGTGAGAAACAATTTAGTAGATTAGAAATCAAAATAAGGTTCTGATTTTCTTATTATAAAAGACACACTTACCTGAAAAAATTTGATAGGACTTTATTAATTCTCATGAACATCACCAAATATTTACCGGCAAACATTTACTTACTTAATTAATTAATTAATTTTTTGTAGAGATCAGATCTTGCTATGTTGCCCAGGCTGGTCTCAAACTTCTGGGCTCAAGGGCTCAAGTGATCCTCCTGCCTTGGATTCCCAACGTGTTGGAATTACAGGCATGAGCCACTATGCCTGGCCCAGGCAAACATTAACAAACAATGATATTACACAAATAAAAAAATTAAAAAATATTACTATCTCCTTTTAGCACCACAAAAAAATCTTAATCTTAAATTCTGCATTTCTTTTTTAAAGAATAATTTTATATCAAGTTAACAAAACAAGTTAGCAAAACATTAAATAAAGAAATAGAATACAGTGGGGTAAAAATAGACTACGGATTCAGAAAGATACAGAATCAAATTCTGGCTTTATCACTTTTTCTAACCTTAGTCTAGGCAAGGTAATCAACTTTCCCAAGCTCTATAAAATGGTATATTGGGGAATTAAACAAGATAATATTTTTAAACATATATTAAATGCATGCTATGCGCTAGGCCCTGTAGATACAAAATTGATAAGACCCTGTGCCACAGGAGTCTAAATAATTGTCTAAATAATGGGAAGCTGGGCTGGAGAGAGGAAGCGGTCAATCCTACTGGAGAGGAGGTTAGGTTTGAAAAAGCTTCATGGAGAATCATAAGATAAACAGGTGCTTGACAGGCAGACGTGGGAGACAGTAACATTTCAGGGAAAAAGAAACTGCTTAAATAAAGTCATAGAAGCAATGTAGTGCATATCGTGTCACAGGTTTGTATGTAGTTCAGTATACCTAGAATGAAGAGTGGTTCAGGAATTGGTGAGGCTAAAAAGGTTAAAAAAAACACAAAAACCAAAACCATAAAAAGACTCCTTGCCATTCATCCATTTATCAAATAATTACTAAGTACTTAATATATGCCATGTGCTAGGGATAGGCCAATAAACAATAACAAAATCAGTCTCCTGGAGACTACACTGTACTAAGAGGAGACTGAGCAGCAATTATCAAGTAAAACAAGACGAAAAGATTTTTTTTAGAAGTGAAAAATGTAATAAAAAAGAGGGTAACATGATGAAGTAACTGGATGGGGGTGGTGGTTAGGGAAGGTCTCTCTGATGAAGTGACATTAGAACTGACATCTAAAGATGGGCAGAAGCTAGAAAGGGCAGGTAGAAGAACACTCAGTACAAAGGCTGTGAGGTAGAAAACACTTCGAAGTGGAGGAAGGTTGTCATGTCTGGGGCATGAGTGAGTGGAGATGGCCCAAACTGAGAAGCAGGCAGGGGCCAAATCAAATCAAGAATCTTGTAGGAATTTTAATTTTATTCTAAGTTCAACGAGAAGACACTGAAGAGTTTCACATATGGGAGTATTATGATCTGCTTTATACTGTAACTCTTACCGCTAAGGGAGAATGAACTATAAGGGTAAAGAGTACAGACAAAGATCAATTAGGAGGCTAATGCAAGCAATCAGGCCAAAAATGGTGATAGCTTAAAAGTGAGAGTGTATAAGTACCCGCAGAGAAACAGAAATGCAGATGGATCAGAGATACATTGTAGAGGACTTGTTGATAGACAGAATGCTAGATATAAAAGAAGGGGAAGAGTCAAGGGGACTCCCAGGTCTTTGGCTTGGCAAATGGTAATGCTTTTTACTGAGATAGGAAAGACTCAGGAAGAAATAGGTTTATGAGGATGGGAATCAAAGGTTCCATTTTGGACATGATAGGTTGAGATGCCAGTGAAATACCTAAGTGGAGAGATACCAAGGAGGCATTGGAACTCTGGAGTTAAAGACAGACGAGGGCTATTTGGGATTCATCATTACATAATTAGTAATTAAAGTAATGGAATAGAAAGAATACATCCAGGAGGTCAAAGACCACAGCCTGTGACAGTTACGACAATTAGAAGTTGATAAAGGAAGAAGAGGCACCAAAGGAAAAACTGAATCAGCCAACATTTCTAGTAAAGGGACTGTTGACGTATCCATACCAAGGGAATACTATGCAGGCATTTAAAAAGGTAGATAATAATAGTATTAACACCTATTACTTATTAAGTACTTACTAGGTACCAGGATCTTTTTACTCTTACAGCAATCCCATAAGCCAAGTACTATTAGCCCCATTTTATTAAAAGAAAAACAAAACAAAATAAAAAACCAAAAAACCAAAAAGAACACAAAAAATTTGGCTTAGAAATGTTGAAAAATATCAGAGCCTAAGTCAGGTAGTTTGGTTTTAAAGTCTATGTTCTTAACAACTGTGGTATAGTTTGGACTAATATTGATAAGCAGAGAAGAGCAAAGTTACAAAAGTGCATGTACAACATACCATCATTTTTATTTTAAAGAAAAATGCACTAAAATTTTTTTCCCATCATACTAAGCTGTATCTCTAAGGTTCACTAAGCTTCATTTTTTCAAGATAATTAAAGAGGGCCACGTTTCTATAGATACTTCTTGACTTACACAGAGGTTAAGTCCCAATAAACTCATTGTAAATTGAAAATATTGTAAGTCGAAAAATATACCTAGCCTACCAAACACATCACAGCCTACCTTAAATGTGATCAAATACTTACAGTAGCCTACAGTTGGGAAAAATTATCTAACAGCCAATTCTATACTAAAGTTATTATCAAGAATTTTGAGCGAAAACCCAAAATTTGAGTATGGTTTCTACTGAATGCACATTGCCTTTTCATCATTTTACATCAGGGACTGTCTGTAATGTGTTGAGATTCACTAAGGAAATAACTGAGTTTTGAGAATTACCAAGAAAACAACTGAATTTCATCAAGGAAATGACTAACCTGACCACTAAGGATTATTTTATGTTAGTTTATAATTAGATTGTAGCACAAAATTTTAACATTGGTTCTTCTCACCTGGTGAGTACATGTACAAAAATAAGGGGAAAGTTAAGGAAGGAAAAGAGGAAGGTGTGAGCATGTTTATACAGCCAGCAGAAAAGAAGTCAAAAGAAGGGCAGGAAAATGAAAATTCAGAGTAAAGGGAATAAATGAGGAAGGCAGGTTCCTGGCCTAGAAGATAGAGGCAGGGATGAAATTATCCTTGATCACAGAAGGAACCACCTCTTTCTCTGTGATTGGATACATTTGTAGGTATGCAGTCATGATGCTGAGGTAGGTAGCTGATACCTGATGGTCTGACTGCTAAAACATATCAGGACCTGTGTAGGCTAAGGGTCATGAGATTGCTCAAGGTTTGGCAGATAGTAATCAACAGATGTTTGTTATTTTCCTTGTTTGTTAATATTTATCCATATTTCTTTAGAACAAATGTTAGCTAGAACATAAAGCTGGACTCAATAACATGTTAAGCCCTGATTATTACCTGGAGAACTGCTGATAGGGGAGCTAGAAATTTATATTTTAAAAGTTTCAGCAATTCAGGCCGGGCGCGGTGGCTCATGCCTGTAATCCTAGCACTCTGGGAGGCTGAGACAGGCGGATCGTTTGAGCTCAGGAGTTCAAGACCAGCCTTAGCAAGAGCGTGACCTCGTCTCTACCAAAAAAATAGAAAGAAATTAGCTGGACAACTGAAAATATATATAGAAAAATTAGCTGGCCATAGTGGTGCATGCCTGTAGTCCCAGCTACTCAGGAGGCTGAGGCAGAAGGATTGCTTGAGCCTAGGAGTCCGAGGTTGCTGTGAGCTGACACCACGGCACTCTAGCCCGGGCAACAGAGTGAGACTCTGTCTCAAAAAAGAAAAAAAAAGTTTTAGCAATTCACACAGAAATTTCAGTTCTTTAAGGCAATTTTAATGGCAAACTGCTATGAAAAGCACTTCTGATAAATCACTTCAAATAATAGTATTTTGCTTGTTTTACATTCCCACAAGTGAAATAAACCTACACTGAAGGCAATTTTTAAACTATAAAAATACTGAACACTAGGAAAAAACTGTATTCACACATGACTTCTTTTATTGCTTCTTACCTCATCTAATGGTTTATCTTCTAAAGCTGTCAAATCTAGTAGTGGGTTTTTCACTCCTAATGAAACCATTGTTTTTAACCCTAAAATAAAAAAAAAATGAAATAAAAAGTTCAGCATGTCTTATCTGAGAAATTAAAAAAAAATTCATTAACAGCTTTAATGACTAGAGTAGCAAGTTAAATACTAGAGTGTGTCAGGGATAAACAGTTACCTTTTTCATCTATTTTGGCACATTCTGCAAAGAGATCCTTTGACCCTGTATTCAGCCGGTCCCTGTGAAAGTAATGGGACTGGAAAAAACGTGTCCAGAATTCCTTCTCGGTCATGTTGTGGGGAACATTCTCTGCATATTTCATTTTTACTGTGGAAAAAAACCGTAAGAAATAGTTACAAACTGAATTTCCATTTCTTAAAATCTCTCAAATTAGATTACTGAAATAGACTAGTAGCAAAAACTAGATTAAGAAACACTCAACTTTACACAGTATTACAAATATGAAATACAACTTGAGAGATCAGGTGAGGCACTGTTGCTATGAATCTTAACAAATGATGAACAAAACTGTATTTTCCACCAAGAGAATTAAGTTTTGAACTTATAGTAGAAACACCAAGAATGCTGGACTTAGATCTGAGTTTGCTTGTTTGTTCATTTATTTATGTACCATGTCAATCCAGGGCACTGTTCGGTGGTAGGGAAAGGAAGATCTCAATGCCTACTGGATTATCAGCTCAGCACTCCAGTGAGCATAGTGTTTAAGAACATGTTTTCTTGGGCCAGAGTCTGAGTTTAAAATTCTATGTTTGCCATTTACAATCTGTATGACCTTGGGCAAATTACTTAATCTCTCTATAGAGAGACTGGTTTCCTCACCTGTAAAATGAGAGTCATAACAGCACCCACTTCATAAGTATATGTGATGATTAAATGAATTTAATATAGAAAAAGCACTTAGAATAGTGTCTGGCATATAATGTCAACACTTAATTCTCCTGGTACAAAATAAGGTTTTTTTGTTTTTTTCTTTTTGGAGACAGGGTCTTGCTCAATCACCTGGGCTAGAGTGCAGTGGTGTCAGTGTCATCAAAGCTCATTGCAACCTCAAACTCCTGGGCTCAAGCGATCCTTCTGCCTCAGCCTGAGTAGCTGGGACTATAGGCATGTGCCACCACATCCAGCTAATTTTTTCTATTTTTTTGTAGAGACAGGGTCTCTTACTTGAGCTGGTTCCAAACTCCTGGCCTCTAGCAATCCTCCCACCTTGGTCTCCCAAAGTGCTAGGATTGTAGGTGTGAGCCACCACGCCTGGCCTTTCAGGTGGTATTTGTTTTTCCATTCTTGCAATACTTCGCTTAGAAGAATGGTTTCCAGTTCCATCCAGGTTGTTACAAAGGGTATTAGTTCACCATTTTTTTAAAGGCTGAGTAATACTGCACAGTCTACATACACCACATTTCATTAATCCACTCATGTACTGATGGGCATTTGATGTACTATTAAACTGGAACTAATCAATCAACACTCATGTCCACATACGATAGTAAAACTGAGCAGAAACCAAGCAGGTGGGGGATGAGGGGAGAGAGGGAGTAGTAAATTCACACCTAATGGGTACGATTCATGCTATCTTGGTAAGGGGCACACTTATAGCTTTGACTCAAATGGCACAAAAACAATTCATGTAACCAAAATGTTTGTACCCCTGTAATACTCTGAAAATAAACAAAAAAGGTATCTGCCTGACAAAGCCTGGATTTTTTTTTTTTTTTTTGGAGACAGGGTCATGATCTGTTTCCCACGTTAGTGTACAGTGGCAAGATCATAGCTCACTGTAACTTTGAACTCCTCAGCCTCCGGAGTAGCTAGGACTACAGGTACACACCACCATGACCAGCTAATTAAAAAAAACTGTTTTTGGAGAGACAGGGTCTTGCTATGTTACCCAGGCTGGTCTTGAACTCCTGGTTCTAACTGACCCTCCCACCTGGGCCTCCCCAAGTGCTGGTATTACAAGTGTGAGCCACTGCACCTGGCCAAGTCAGGATTTCATAAAGGTAGCAATGAGGCAATGCTTGCCCTGAGTCCTGAGGGAGAGATATATTTCCTAAGGACTAAAGGGGCACAAGTGAGGAAATGAGAAGAGAATCGTACAAAGCTTAAGAGTACTGTTTAGTGCAAAGAATGACTAAGGCATTGGCTCTCGCCCTTGGCTGCACATCATAAATCACTAGGGCTGGGGTCAAGTAACCTACACTTTTAGGATGGCTTCTGCATGGGAAATGATTCATGAGTTAGAAAGGTCACTCTGGCTGCAGTATGAAGGATGGCCTGAGTTAGTGCTATGTAGAGACTCATTTATTGATGCTTTGGTAGCATGTCATTTCAGCACTTCTTACTCAGTATGTTGAGGGCTAAAGAAAGTTTAAGAACCACTGCTGGAAAGAATAGCAAAGTCATCACACAATGAATTGATGACAGCACATTATTTACTCTTAGTACCTACCATATGTCCATGTCAGGCACTGGGTAAAGTATTTTACATATTTTATTGCACATGATCAGGAATAAATAAATGGTCAGGTTTTTGTTTTTCATTGATATGTTACAGAATTCATCCAAAATTTTAACCATCTGGAAGAAGTGACTCTTCTTACCTGCTGGATAGGTCCTAAATATGGACTCGATAATATCAGAGGTTAAATTATATCTCAGACCATTGCAGCCATCGGTTTGGGGCCGGACATCAGCCTAAAACAAAGATCACACACACATATAGTAAGGTAGAACATCAGGGCAGATGCCTAAGCTCTCAATAGACAATGGACAAAGGTGGGAAAAAAGTGTTTCTAAATGAACTGCAGACAGTAAGTCCTTCACTTTCACTTTTGGCATAGAAACAGGGCTCAAAGAAGCCTGGACTGGTTTCTCATTGTCTTAGTGACCTGTAAAATATTCTTCCTTGGAGGTCCAATATGGTTGAATAGGCATGTTTAAATGTGACTGAAGGCAGAGAGGTAGTGGAGCTTTACTGTAAAACTTGTAAAGTTACTAAACCACCATAAACTTTGGTTACTAACTAAACTAACATTAACTGATTGGTTTCTTTGGGAAAAGCCTTACTAATTCAATTCACTACTAAGCACCCAAAAAGATATTAAACATGCAAATGGCATTCAGATTTTTGTTGGATGTGTAAATACTGCTCTGGTTCCCCTGGAGTATAGACTAACTGAATTTCATTTTATAACTCCACAGGAAAGGCACTCCCAATTTTTCCATGACATACTTTTTTTTTTTTTGAGATGGGATCTCACTGTGTCACCCAGGCTAGAGTACATTGGTGCCAATGTAGCTCACAACAACCTCCTACGCTCGAGCAATCCTCCCACCTTAGCTTCCCCAGGAGCTAGGACTATAGGCATGCACTACTATGCCCAACTAATTTTAAAATTTTTTATAGACATGGGGTCTCGCTATGTTGGTCAGGCTGGTCTTGAATTGCTAGACTCAAGTGATCTTCCCATCTTGGCCTCCCAAAGTGCTGTAATTACAGGCATGAGCCATGGCACCTGGCCATGGCACCTGGCTATTTGGATACATTTTACAAATGTTACTTTTTCTATAATATGATGGTCATTAAACATTTAACTTTGTATTATAAGTAAAATATAACAATCTTAAATTAAAGAGGTACTAGAAAGCCCTAAAAGTATTAGGAGAATTAAGTATTAGTCCAATTTTTAAATAGTCATTCTCAAAGTCTATTTGATCTCTGGCATACTAGGGTCAAGTCCAAAAACCAAGAAAACATAACTGGTAAAAAGATACATAAATTTTTTTTTAAGAGACAAGGTCTCGTTCTGTGGCCCAGGCTAGAGTGCAGTGGTACAATCACAGCTCACTGCAACTTCAAACTCCTGACTTCAAGTCAGCCTCCTGAGTAGAAATATAAATTTTAAAAATACTATATATATTTTAAAAATATTTTGGAAGAATACTATGGATATTATATTTTCCATACTTCAAAGAAATGCTAAATTTTACAAAAGAAATAGCACTGTTAACACAAATATTGGGGTTTTCATTTTTTTCTTCTCTTCAGAAATCTAGAAGGGTCACATACCAGAAATGCTGCAGAAATGCCAACATCCTGCTTATGATTGGATGTGGAAGAACTATCTGTTGCATTCACATTTAAACGATTGGCCCAGAATTCCTCAGCACTGATTACTTGACTCACAACAAGGTCTTTATAAAGCTGAAACAAAACAGGATCTTCTTGCAGCATTCTGGTGATAGAATATATTAAATATAATTGAACTTCTACAATAAAACACCATTTAGGTAACATTTTAAAAAGACTTCAGTGACATAAAACATTAAAACACACAAGTTTTAGTTTGTGATAACTGAACAGGAGAGGCCATTTAGTTCATTTTTTAGTAATTAAGAGCAAAAAAAACATTTTTGGAGGAACAAATGAAGTGGAGATAAATGGAGATAAGTCTGAAGCAGCACAGATTAAACTCTCTGAAGGCATGGATTTGGTTTTATGCATTTCTGTATCCTAGTGACGCAAAGATCACTGGGTCTATATTCATATTGTATAATCCTTTGGTATCTGCAGATGCTCAATCAAGTCCCTTGGGTAAAATGATGTTGTATTTGTATAAACCTACAAACATCCTCCCATATATGTTAAGTGACCTCTAGCTTACTTATAATATCTAAGATAATATAAATGTTGGGTAGTTTGCTATACTGTACTGTTTTTTACTTGGATTATTTTTTGTCATATTGCTATTTTTTTCCAAATATTTTCAATCAGAAGTTGGCTGAATCTGTGGATGTGGAATTCACGGATAGAGGGCCAATTGTATTACCTTTCACACATAAAGGTGAATGGGGAAGAGAAGAGATATGCTTGAGATTTTCCAGCAACTTATTGTGAAAAGCATTTGGAGCTATAAGCACTGATGGCCTAAAAGATGTCAGTGATGGAATAATTCATCATATAAGAAATTCTCATTATTTTACATGCCATTTCACTGTTTCACAGTATGAATTCTTTCAGGTTTCCTTTTCACAAGCACACTTCTCTAACAGTTTAGTATCTTCTCTGTGGACAGAGAACTGGGAAAAAAAATTAAGGAACCTTAGCACCTTCTACTCTCACTTCTGCTCCTAAACAGATGTTAGGCTTGATGCAGTTAATTTAACTTCTGGGTTTGTACATTCTTATTTGTCCAGAGGTCATACAACTAGAAAGAAAAGACGCTGAAGTTGAAAACTAAACACAGAGGTAAAGATATTAAAGCCTATATTTTCCTACATTACAGTATCACAGCAAAAGGGAGGGGAGAGGTAACAAGCTATTACTCTATTAGAAGACTAGAGAGAATCTAGTATCTCTTCAAAAGGCTATTCTTTTCCCCCACCTGTTTTTTTCTTCCAGTTCTTTATTTGCTTTCCTCTTGAATTTAGGCAGCAGCTGCTGAAGAAGGTCCTTTACTGCATCTCGCTCTTTCACTGCTGTGCTTTCATTGGAAAAATGGAAGTTAGTTGTGTCCCCTGCATGCAGGACCAGCTGAAGTTGAATTTTAGCTTTTCCTTCTGGACTGATTTTCTGGCCTAAAAACAAGCACGAGGCTAGTTAGATGAGGAAACTCACACTGTGGAAACTGCCATACAATAGGTTACTTCTCCTCCTAAGAAGATTTAGGATTCCTTTGGGCTTCAGTTACCTATTCCAATATTCAGGCCTTTGCAGAAATGCACTCTTCTCAAATAATCCCACATAACCACAGCACACTCAACAAATTCACTACTAACAATGCTTCCCACTACAGTAGCCTTTATGTGCAGCACTTCTCACCCACTGCTTCTACTGCTAGATATTAGTGGGCTTTTGTTTCCATTGAACTAGGGCAGGCTTCCTTAAAGCTTTCTAAAACAGTGAACTAGGATAGGAGCACCCCAGCCCCCGCCCCCGCCGAACCCACTTGAAACAGCGGCCTGCAATCAACATTATCATTAATAAAAATGACTTGTCATGATCCAAAAGAGTGTAAAACACAGCCCATGGCTTACTCACTAATTTTGTAAGGGAAAATATATAATTATATATTCTATATTCAAGAGATGTGGTGTCACTACTTTAACCAAATGATCAAACACAGTCTCATTAAAAGCAGGACAACCTGACACCATGTGTTTTCCGAAGTGATGGAACAGGAAGTAAACATCACCACCTACATATTATTCTTATCTAAAATGTTTAATCTGATTATACTCAAGTCTCTAGATCTTTCAGTTTATTAAAAATATAGGTAGGCCGGGCGCAGTGGCTCATGCCTGTAATCCTAGCACTCTGGGAGGCCGAGGCGGGAGGATCGCTCGAGGTCAGCAGTTCGAGACCAGCCTGAACAAGAGCGAGACCCCCTCTCTACTAAAAATAGAAAGAAATTATCTGGGCAACTAAAAGTATATGTAGAAAAAATTAGCCGGGCATGGTGGCGCATGCCTGTAGTCCCAGCTACTTGGGAGGCTGAGGCAGAAGGATTGCTTAAGCCCAGGAGTTCGAGGTTGCTGTGAGCTAGGCTGACGCCATGGCACTCACTCTAGCCCGGGCAACAGAGCGAGACTCTGTCGCAAAAAAAATAAATAAATAAAAATATAGGTATACAGGAATAAATTAAACAACAGAGAAGGAGACAATCAGACATGTTCAGAATGTGTGATATCCAAGGCTATACTCTGAAAGAGACTGAAGAGGCCACAACTACATGTACCTAGACTAGACACTGGTTTAAAAAAAAAAAAAAATCACAGCTATAAAAGACATTATTGGCTCAACCAAGGAAATGTAATAACGGTCTGGCTATTTATTATTAAAATATTCTTGGTGTGATAATATTATAAGCAATAAAACTATACCCACAAATAAAGCATATATGGCAAAATTGTAGTATCTAAGTAGGATATATTACATAGATTTTCAGTGTACCAGTCTTTAAAGTTTTCTGTAACTTTGAAGATTTTCATAATAAAAAATCAGGGCTGGGAATGCCAAGATGTACCCACAAAATGTAGAACTTGTGTTCTTAAAGAATGGGCCTCATTGGACATAGTAGTGCTTTTCTTCTTTATAAGGGAAGCAGAGATGGAGGGCTTTGTCCCATTAAATGGGTGACTCATGGTAGGGTGACACATTGCCTAGACCTCTCACCTTAGCATAATCTGATCTATTAAATTTTAAATAAACAGAAACTCTGACGATGAAGATGACAATTCCAGACCAACAGTTGGAACAGATAAAGTACCCTACTGCTAAAAGCAGCAATAATGAAGCAATTTACACTGTCAGCTAGCATGTTTCATTATCCCAGTCCTCCAAAACAGTCACTCCTTTCTAAAAGCACCTTTTCTCGGTCACTACTTCATCCATGCTCCACCTTAGCTCCTGCCTCTGAAAAGCCACCCTAATTTTTTAACTATCTAACTTCAGCTATGGTAAGAACTACTGCTGATTTTCACCTTAGTAATTTATTATTGATACTTTTCAGTGGCTTCCGAAATTCTTTCAAATATTCAACTTAAAAAGGAAAACTGTTCTGGTGTAGCTCTGGATTTGGGTATATACTCCCCCCCCTTACAGGAACTTGCCAGAAACAAAGTTTTAAAAAGAGGTACTGTTACCAAGATAGTGGACAAAAGATCATATAGCTTAGGCAGTAGTTAACTTTGAAGGTATCATGTTGCTTGAAATCTACACTGAATTTTATCTAGGAGAAAAATCTTATATCCCAGGAAATAAATGAATCCATATTAATGGTCACAGTTGAGGTGCCACAATTTATCAAGGGCTTGGTTGCCTTGGGTTTCTCCTATTCAAGATTTTTATTTAGGTGAATTGCAGAAATCCCTTTCAGAGGATTCATCTGGTGCTTTTCAAGCTAATTAATTACTACTGAACCACAAAGTACCATACCCTGGGTAACAAATTCAAAGTTAATCTTGCAAATTTGGAAAGAGAAGGGGTTTTGATTTCAACTTTCACACTTGAAGATTATAAAAAGAAAAATAATGTAAAACATTATGCTCCATATTTCTCCCATCTATATTCAACAGTATAAAGTTGAGTCTTCTCAACAGATGATAGCCACATAACCGGAGATTAGATACCTTGCTTAAATGATACAATTTTATTAAAGGACAATCTGGCATCACCTATCAACATTTTAAATGGATGAACCATTCGAACAAAAAATCCTTTTTAGGGATATATTGTGCACACACATCCCTGAAATGGTATTAGTGCACAGATCTACACTGCAACACTGTTTGCAATAACAAAATTCTGAAACTTCTTACATGTCCTTTAACAGAGGATTGGTTAAATACATGGTTGTCTATCCAGTGAAGTATTACGTAACACACTTAAAAGAAAGTATGTGTGTAGATCTATGTGAGGTAGATTTACATATACAAACCTGCACACATTCTATTAGTAAGTGAAAAGGTCAGGTATATAGTATATATTCAGTGATCCTGTTTTGTAATTTATTTCTACATAATTGGTTTTTTGGGATATAAAATTAAGACCCACAAAGACTGCATAAACAATCTTTTTATAAAATTACTAGAAAATATGACATACATACATCAGACCTTAGTATAGGGTAGACTCAGGATAGACTTACATTTAATATCCGCATACATATGGCTGATTGTAAATCTATCTTTGCCTTCAGGTGCCCAAGCGATTCTTTCTGCCATTAGGTATAGAGCTCCATCCTGCTTCTTTTGGCGCACCTTCTTCACAATCAGCAAAACTTCTTCCGATGAAGTAGCCATGGTGGCTTGAAGGTGCTAATAGAGAAAAACAAAGATGAAGTAAAAAAAATTCTGTATGTCTATTGGGGTTGCATTTGTTGACTTCTACAGTCCCTTCCAAATCTAAAACCTAAACTGTAGAAAATTAACAGGGAGTAAAAAAGTCCTCTCACTCAGGGTTGAAGATAAATTTGCATGGCATTATTCTTCTACAATCAAATTTCATTTTGCTCACATCGCAGGTGTGAATTTATACAACACTCACAGTTTATAACACTTGGCAGTCTTTCAAACCATTTCCATGTGTGTTAACGAGAGTATTTTCACTGTATTTTTATTTTCCCCAGTTATATTCTTAACTCATAAATGTACAATTTGCAAATATGTGGTCTTTTATTCAATCTATATTTAGCATTGCAGAGCTTCAGAATTACACAGGATCCTATTGAATATTTAGCTCAAATTTGTTTCAATGGAAACAACTAAGGTCCACAGAATTTGTGTGATCTTTCAGAACCACTCCCAGAGCTGAAACCATATCCAAGTTTCCTGATCTAAGTTTCTTCTGTATACCTGGAAATAAAACTGAGAGAATTTAGTTCTTCTTAACGTTTCAGATGCTAGTTTTCCATCTTTTAACAATCAAATATCTTCAATTGTTCTCCCTGTCTTCGCTATGATTCATTTGTGTAACAGCTAACCAGTTACCAAGGTAACAGCCTGGAACCCCTCTCCCGTCCCACCCTTCTAGGAATCTTTCTGGTTTTTTTTTTGGAGAGAGAGTCTCACTGTTGCTCAGCCTGCAGAGCAGTGGTGTCATGATAGCTCACTGCAGCCTCAAACTGCCGGGCGTAAGTGATCCTCCTGCCTCAGCCTCCTGAGTAGATGGGATTACATGGGCACATGCTACCATGCCCAACTAGTGTTTAGAAAGTTTTTTTTTTTTTGTAGAGGTAGGGATCTCACTATGTTGTCTAGTCTGGTCCTGAGCTCCTGGCCTCAAGTGATCCTCCTTGTATGGGCCTCCCAAAGCGCTGGCATTATAGGCCTGAGTCACCAGGCCCCGCCCTTTCTAGAAATCTTAAATGTCCAATCCAAGTCCTTGAAGCTTGAGGGTGGCTGTCTGGAATCCGAGGCTAAAAAGGACTTTGAGGCTGTCTGGGCTCAATGGAAAAGATGCCACGACTGATGGTAATGTCTGCCATGGGCCAGGACAGGGAAAGTTGTGGCACCAATGTCACATATATGCCATTTCTGGTGAACTTATGACGTTAGTTTTTATTCCCAAGTAAATGGCTTAAAACATAATTTTAAAAAGTTCTTCAGGCACAGTTTAAAGTATAATTTTACAGAAGTTAGCATACGTATATAGGTGTCACAAGAATTAAGTCTGCCCTGAGCAAATAAGTGAAGCTTTACTGAAACATTTTTCCTAAAGGTTAAAAGAAATGGGAACAAGGAAATATTGGATCTGTCATTAGCTATTCAGAATAATTGAGGAGAATTTCTATTGGAACATAATGGGAAAATAAGCATTAGGAAAAGAAGAGTAGCAGGGAGTGAAAAAAATTCTGGCATAAAGTTTTCTGAAAACTAATAACTTCTCAAACTACCACCTCTTAGGATTAATGAAAATATGCTACTGGATTAAAAAAACTATTATTTCTTATTCACTGAAGTAATGAGTTAGAAGAGATACAAGTAAAAAAAGAGAAATCTTGACTTCTTTGAAGTTGACTTTATTATGAGTCGTTGCATCTTCCCTTTTACAGGTCTTTCCAGGCTATTCCATCCCAACAATGGACAGGAAAAGGGTCAGTGTGATACATTTATCCAATAAATTTGAACTGAGCCAAGGAGACTAGGGCCTGTCCAAAGATGAATGTCAATAGTAATTTCTGCCTTTAAAGAGTTTCCAGTATAGTGAGCAAGATGAGTGTGTATGTGGTATTTATTATACAAATTAGAATGTGTGAAGTGTCCTAAAAGGGACATAAAACATGTTGTAAGTTCGGCTCTGAGGCAATTTCTTCACTTAGGAAACCTTCTAAAAGGTTTACCACAGAATTTTTTTAAAGCAATTTTTAAAAACTCAGATATAATTAACAAATCAACAAATACATACCTCTTAGGCATTCTGTTTGATGTGTTTTGACAACTGTACACACCCATGAACCACTATCCAAAACAAGACACAGAACATTTCCATTACCCCTGAATGTTCTCTCAGGTTTCTTTCCAGTCAGTTCTCTTTCCCCTACCCTCTAGCAAATATTTCTGATTTCTATCACCACAGATTAGCTTTTATCTGTTCTAGGACTTTAGATAAATGGAATCATGCTCTTTTTGTCTCTGGCTTTTTGCTTGTTTTTTGAAATTCACCATTTCGCTGCATGTATCAATAGTTCATTCTTTTTTACATATATAAATTAATTACGAACTGGGTCTTTTTTTTTTTTTTTTTGAGACAGAGTCTCGCTCTGTTGCCTGGGCTAGAGTGCCGTGGTGTCAGCCTAGTTCACAGCAACCTCAGACTCCTGGGCTTAAGCAATCCTCCTGCCTCAGCCTCCTGAGTAGGTGAGACTACAGGCATGAGCCACCATGCCTGGCTAATTTTTTCTATATATGTAGAGACAGAGTCTCGCTCTTGCTCAGACTGGTCTCGAACTCCTGAGCTCAACGTCTCCTCCCACCTTGGCCTCCCAGAGTGCTAGGATTACAGGTGTGAGCTACCATGCCCAGCCCATGAACTGGGTCTTGAAGAGAGGAGCTCTACAAAGAAAGTAAAGGGAAAGAGGTGTTACAGGCAAAGGGAATGGTTTGGGGGTAAAGGCTTAAAACTCTCTAGGAATGGGAAAGCAGTCTGCTTTGGATGCAGCTAAAGTTCACAATGAAGATCAGTAGGATATGAGGTTGGACAGTTAAGATGGAGGCAGATAGTGGAGAATGCCACATGTGTAAGATGGAGAATGCCATATGTGGTAAACAACGGAAAACCTCTAAAGACTTTTGAATAGAGGAGTGATATGTATTTTGGAAAATTAATCTGTGGGCAGCACAAGGCACTGGAGAGAAACTGGAAGGGGTCTCTGAAAGAGGCTGGTGGCAGTGAGAATGGAGAAGAAGAGATAAGGAGGACCACTGAGGAACCAGGATGAATTGAAGTGCTGAAGGAGGTGTCACAGTTGCTTGCCCATACCCTATTTTTAAGCCTTACTGATGAGTATAGTGGTGTCATTTCCAGAAATAAATGAGAAGGAAGGACAGTTTTGAAAGTGAAGGAATTTAGCTCTGCATATGAGTGTGAGGCACTGTTGAGTCATGCATGTGGAGACAGTCTGTGTTATGGGTACATTTGTAAATGCTGGAATGAAGCCCAATTAGATGACTGTTTTTAATTCACAAAAACAATAACAAAAAGGGACTTTAAAAATTCCATAATCCCACAACCATAACATTAATTCTCTTTATTTTAAATTGTGCTTATCTGTACCCACCTTACTAATATAATCATGAAGTACATCCAAGTTAATTATCTTGTGTTTTTCACCTGTGTGGAGGCTAAACCAACTCCATCTTGGATGCTAATCTACCACGCAGACTTCTGATTAACCCCAGTTTTGGGAATGCTTCTAAGATTTCTACTCAATCTACTGCTTACTGTAAATCCTGCCTTTAGGCAAATTCCTTCTGAAGTGTGCATATCCTTTTCCTGTAGTATATAAGCATCTCCCTGCTGACCAGGACATAGCTTCTGTTCATAAGTCCTTATTAAATATTTCTTTCTGAGGAATTGAATTTGTCAGCCTCTCAGCTTCCTTGGCCTTTGGAGATAGGTATGCACAAACCTGTTCACAGCAGAACCACTTGCCATTGAAAATAACTCCCCATGTCGTTTTATAATCTCCAGTTTTGATATCTATATATCAAATATAATAAAAGGTTAAAATTCTTAATATACGATACCATTTTTTAGCTGTCTTATTTGATGTCCTCCTAAGACTTTGATTAGAGGGTTATAGTTGCTTAAAAAGTTCAAAAACCTGGTTGGGCATGGTGGTGTGTGCCTGTAGTCCTAGCTAGTTGGGAGGCTGAGGTGGGAGTTGCTTGAATCCAGGAGTTTGAGGTTACAGTGAGCCACTGCACTCCAGCCTGGGTGCCAGAGCAAAAAAATTTAAAAACCTGTTTTAAGACTTTTTTGAAATGGCATGAGAGGACACACTGTTAAGTGATCAAAGCAAACAAACAAAAAGATGTAGCTTGATTCCATTTTCTTAAACTTTTTTAAATCGAAAATTTATTGAATGCTTATTACTATGTGCCAGGCACTGGACTAAGCTTGTTATAGGCATTCAGCTCCCAGCTAATAATCCTATGAGGTAGATTCGATTACTAGTTCCATTCTGCAGATAAGGAAACTAGATCTGAGAAATCAAGATGCTTTCCCCAAGCATGAAGGTAGTAGTAG